GTAACATGCATTTGGACATCATTATCATGTTCAAAAGTTTTCACCCTCAACTCTTAATGGACAGTTTCCCCTTCTGGTGCATCAGTGAATGTTTGAACCTTTTTTAATAGATGTGTTTGAGTCTCTCAATTGTCCTCAGTGTGAAAAGATGGATCTCAAAGTCATACAGTCACTGCTGGAAAGGGTTCAAATATGCAAAAGATGCTGGAAAACTGAAGAATTTGCAGGACCTGAATGATTTTCCTGAAGAAAATTGGGGAGTTTAACTGCTCAGACAGACAAGGAACTCAAGAACAACCATCACAAATCAGAAACAAGAAAAGCAGTTGTGGATTATTCAGGTAATGACACACAGTATTAAGAATCAAGAGTAATGCGTAAACTAAATGTAAATATCTTATATGTAAAACATCTTATTTAATAAAAACCATGCATTTTGTATGATCCCTCTTATTTTATTTAACTTAACAGTAACACTATTTTGATGGTGTCTTTTGAACCTTCTGTTGACTAGAAGTAACTTTGCAACTACATGTCAACTAACTCTCATTAGAGTATTAGTAGACTGCTTATTATCTCTTTACATGGTCCTCCAACACACATTATACTGACAATAACTTTGCAAGTACGTGTCAACTTATTCTAACCCTAACCCGTCAACTAATACTCTACTAACACTCTAGTGAGAGTTAGTAGACATGTAGGTGCAACATTACTTAATCAACAGAACGTGTTAAAGTGACCATCAAAATAATCAAATTAAAATTTAGCAGATTCTGAAAGGTGTATGTAAACGTTTGACCATCACTCTACCAAAAAAAAAAAAAAAAAAAAAAAATCATTATTATTATATATATTTAGCATGACAGATCATGCATGATGACATTTCAACACCTGGTTTTCTCTTTTCATGAAAAGTTACAAATTTTTTAAATCTTTTTCTGCAGTTTCTTTGACTATAGTTTAAACACATACAGGTCAAATGTGTTATACCTTTGTTTTTGTATCAAAAAAAGTTGCAGAGACTTATTTGAATGAGAACATTTTTAATGATCAATCTCTTTAATGTATTTTTTTCTGAAAAACAAATTCTTTGTAACTCTCTGGCATTACCATTTACATAATTCTGTACATGAAAAAAGAAAAAAAAAGCACTGCTTTAGATACAGATTAAAATTTTAAAACTAGAAAAAACCTTCAAAATAAAAATTAGAGGAGGTTTACATTACAAATTAGTAGTAAGACATTGTCTGAAGTGCAATGGTATAGCTCAGATGAGTTTAAAAGTGGAAAAAAAGATGAAATAAAAATACTTCTCTATTTTAAACAAACAGCAATATTTTTACAGTTAGTAGAGACATATCCTCTGATGTATTTAAAATTGTAAAAACATATTTACATATAACTGTATCTGATATATATCTTTTTCCATCACATATATGTCAGCACCAGTACAAAATAAAATGGAGAAAAAAGATAAGCTCGATGACTTCAACAGAAATCAAAAACATGTTCATCTTGGTCCCAGATTGTTGATATTTGGTGAGACGGCAGGAGAACGTGGGCTTTACCCTCTCCAACTGCGATCCTCTTGACACAGCAACAATATAACACTGCGAAACACTGAAGATGTGAATGCGTTCAATCTCCCATTAAGACAGAACTAAAAAAAGGGCAAGTCAGTCACAATTCAAGTCAGTTACATTCCTCAGAGCTGAAACAATCAAACTAGAGCTCGATCACAGAAAGAGACAGCATGACTATAATACCATAAAGTAACACACACAACTAGGAGAAAAGACTGATATTCTTTGTGTGGCATTTCATGGTAAACAACAGACGACTAAAGTAAAGAAAGGGTTACCATTTTGAGACTTCATTTGAAATTAGTTGACAGACCAGGTTAAACTCATACAAGTAACAACAAATTCATTATGTGTACTATAAATGTTTCGAATAATGAAGTTGGAGGAAATGGATTGTAAATAAATTGAAATTCCAAATACAAAGCAGAGGCTTACATGTACAAATTTAGCCAATTCACTGTTGAAAGAGAAAAAGAAAGTTGACTGGATTACTAACGGCTTGCGGGAGTCTTGATGTGCTTGTTTTTCCTCTGTCAGGCATTGAGAAATGGGTAAAGGAGTGTCAGTGTGTGCAAGAGCTTGAAGTGATTATAATATGTCATTTGACTGGTAAAATAAAAGAAGAAAAGTGGCATGACCCATCAGCGTAAACACAGTATGAACTGTGCATTTAGTTTTTTTTTTAATCTTTAACCAGTGTTCACAAGCAATTACCTTCAGAAAAGAAACAAAACTAGAATGTTGTGAAGCGTTTTAAATTATAGAACCAAAACATTGCATTTGCCTCAGATTACTTCCACAAACTACTGGGGTGTTACATTAAAATCGCATAAATATTACTTTATGAACTGTTTCTTGTAATCCAGATGAGTTCGTATATTCTTTCTAGCTGCCATTGTGACTAAAGAAAATATCTTTCTCACAGTTTTAGAGAGGGGAGGGAGAAGTTTGTAGCTGCCAAATCTCTTCAAGCAATATTAACAAACACCTTGACAAACACACACACACGCACGGCTTCACTCTTCTACTGACACCGGTCGCCTAGCGACAGCAGAGCATCCATCTTGCATGCACAGAGCACACGGAGTCTGATGTGTTTTGTTGTGATGCTCTTAGTGCAAATAAACGCACACACGCACAAGCACAGAGCAGAGCAAATCAACACACATCAAGAGCAGCAAGAGAGAGAAGGTGTGTAAGAGAAGAAAGAGGAATAGGTGTGTTGAATCGGTTGGTTTGGGAAAAGGGATCCATTGGTGAAAAAGGCCCACCTCAAATTTCCACACACTCTTTAATACATGAACAGGATGTCAGAACAAGGAAGAACTAAATACATAAAAACATCCATAAAATCTTTCCCAATGTCATTTTGCAGGTTTTCAGTGCCTCTTGCCCTTAGTCCAGCACAAAGGACATAAGAGAGAAAAAAAAGACAAAGACATAAATGGATCAAATCCAAAAGGGGTATTTATAAAAAAAAAATCAAATCAAATAAAAACTGAACAGCGGAACCTTACTGGAGAAGCAATCCAAACAGAGAAGAATTGGTTTAAATATTGTGACAGCACACACATGTATTACGCAACATGTACTATATTTCTTAGATTTGTTGACCATGTTTAAAAAAAAAAAAAAAAAAAATCACATTTTCCATAAAATTGTTCTGTTAAAAAATCCCTTAGGCTATTGGTTGGGGAAAAACTCTTCCATCCAACCTTCCGTTGAATCCAAATCTGTCCCATCCGACAGGCCGAACGAAACCCCGGCCCCAGCCCCCGATTGGCTGCCGTAACCGTACGCCAGGTCCTGATTGGACGTCCTCTGGTAGCCCTGAGGCTGACCCCCTGGCATGTACGACCCACCCCCTCCCGATGCTCCCGGTATGCCCTGAGCAGGGCCCTGTCCAAAAGCGGCCATGTTGGGCACTCCCTGGTTCATGCCTGGCATTACCATCCCCCGCGGCTGGTTGGTCCTTGGTTGCCCCGCCATGTGCGGCATCATCGGCCCACCCATTGCGGCTGGGTTTATTGAACGTGGGTCCACCATAGTCTGTCCGCCCATCGCTTGTGCGAAATGCTGCTTGGCTATCCTAGGAGGCTGGCCACCTTGGATGGCGTACGCAGGGCTATTGTTAAACGCCACCATGTCGTTTGAAGTCCTTCCGCCCATGGCCTGAATATTTTGCTGTTGCGGCCACGTCGGGCCTCCGCCTCCCATCATGCTCTGCAGTCTCTGAACTTGGGCTTTGGCCATCGCCTGCCCACCAGGGGCGACACTGGCTGATTTTATCTGCTGCTGCGGGAGGGCCTGGTTCATTAGCATCGCCTGTCCATACCCACCACCCGGGCCTCCGCCGACCATTCCTTGCCCGCCGGCGCCCGCTTGTCTTTGTGCCATCGCCATACCGGGCTGGTTGGGATGGTGCTGCTGTTGCTGCTGGAGCATTTGGCCCATGTTTGGGTTCATACCCTGGTACATGGCAGTCTGTGAACTGGCCTGGCCTCCGTATGCCATGCTCATGTCACCCTGCGAGGGCATGGCGGCCGAGTTCTGGACGGGCGCCATCTGCAGTATCCCCGGGTTCTGTTGCTGCTGCTGCTGCATAAGTCGAGCGTTCCGCATGTTCTGCAGAGTCTGGTTCCTTGCTGCCATCTCCTGGGACGTGCCTAAAATCATTTTAAATTAAATAATATTAATTTGACATCTGTTGTTCTCATTACATTTCCAGTACATCAAGGCTTGCTTCAATTAAAGTCAAACAGCATAAGCACACCCTCACAATAGCATAGCAAATCACTGTCAATTGTATATCTTGACATAAACTGCACACTGACATCTCCAGATGACTGTATGTGTCTGAAATGAGTGATTCCATGTTCCCAATCCTGCTCCAGGAGATCTACTTTCCTAAGTTCAGCTCCAACACAAATCAAACACACCTGAACCAGCTAAATAAGATCTTCAGGAGTGTTTGATCAGGGTTGGCTCTAAACTCTGCAGGTAGGTAGATCTCCAGGAACAGGATTGCTCACCCCTTAGGCCCTGTTCACACGAACACGGAAAGTTTTTTTAAAATTTTTTTTTTTTTTTTAATTTATTTAGATGGGACAATGCATATTAATGAACGTTCAAGCATAGTCGAACGTAAACACGCCGGATTTAGCACAATGCTATTTTCCATCCGTTGTCCCCTAACACAGACAAATACAACCCAAAAACAAAAACAGACACACAATATACATATCAACAAAATAAAATACAAAATATATATAAATAAATTAAAAATAGTAATAATCATAAAAGTTCCAATAGGCCTATCTTATAGAGAATGTATTGTAGTACCCATTACAAAAACTCCTATATGTAGACATTCCGAGATGCTTTCAAAACTTCAGAGTTTTCTATACGGTTTGGCCGTCCATACGCTAAAGCAATATCTAGTGACACTGAACTTTTTTGAAAACTCCTGCAAGGTTGAAGATTCTTAGAAACCGCGATTGCATTGTTGTCATGTGTAGACAGTGAAACCGGAGATTTTGAATTGTGACGTCGGAGTGCATGCTGTTATCTCCTTTGTTTGACGTCAGATTGTGCGCCGCTATCTCCTTTGTTTACATGAGGCGAGTTTGTGCAATTGTGGACGTAGCCAAAATATTGCTACTAATAACTGTGCTAACAGGGTTTATATGTATACATACACAGTTCTCCCATTAGGAACAGTAGTGTCAGAATTCTATTCTATTCTATAACATGTTGTTAGCCGACCAGAACAGGTAATAACCCTTTTTTCAGGCTTCTGATTAGCCAACATGGTTTTACGGTTAGGGTTATATCGACACCTGTTGGTTTGGCATGCTCGTGACAAGGACAGAGATTTTGCTTAAACCCTGCTTATGTGGACGCGACTTTATTTTTTTTAAAAAGGAGGAAAAACTCAGTTTATAAAAATACGTGTGGAATAAACCCACTGTACATGAATTTCATGTTAGAATTACTGTATGTTGACAGGCATCAAGACAAAAAATGAGATATAAAGCAGGGGTAGTGTAGGGGTAGAACGAATGTGTGTGTGTATGCATATAGAAACAGATTTCCAGCGTTAATACACAAGCCTGAAAAATAGCTTAAGGAGCTAGATTTCTGATATTGTTGTCAGATTTCACTTCACTGCAGATATGAAATATGTTATTACAATGTAATCTTGGCAAACTGTTTCAGATATTTTAGTCTTGATTCTAGTAGTTGTACCTACATTGCAAATAGCTTCCTGGCAATGTGACCAAAAGGACCGCTGAGCAAACTGACTAGCTAACTGATTATGATGTTTACATTACATAAATGTTAACATTAACAAACCAAAAGACAGATATGTCCACTTTAATATTTAAAACAACTAAAATAATCAATAGACATGTTTCCTGTCAAAGCAACAGACTTTGTTTGGGCAAATGCATGTGTCCTATACTGCTTCACGTGAAAGGGGGTAGACTGCTTTTAAATAGAGGAACTGCACTTAGAGGCTTAAAGGAGGAGTTTAGATTTTTCACATCAGAAATCTACTATCCACATCAGGTCCTTACAGTGCTTGTATAACACTATAAGCCCTTTAGCCACACAAAGTAATTTGGCCATTACAACTAGTGGCAAAGCGTTTAGATTATGGGAATGGATATTATCCTCTTTTCTTTGTATATGTGCGTGTCTTGCCTTGAAACTGCTGGAGTGGATATGGATTCCTCTGTGCCTGACTCATCTGTCTGGGGAGATGCTGCTGCTGTTGTAACTGGAAAAAGAGGGAAAGCGAAGCAGAAAATTTAGATGAATATCAGAAATTCCTGATCAATAAATCAAACAACTGAACAGAAAGCAGACCTCTTATGCCACAAAAGGTCAATAGATGCTTGCACACTCTGTGTCTATGGTGTCAATGGCACTCACCTGTTCCACCAGCATGTGCTGCTGCTGCTGCTGCTGTCTCTGTTCTCTAATAAGCTGTGCTTTCTGCTGCTCCATCAAATGCAGCTGGACCCTCTTTTCCTCCATAGCCATCATCTGCTTCATCATGGCCGCCTGTTGTGGATTGGCCAGATACCCGGCAGGCCCCGCCCCGTTAGGCCCTGATGAGGCCACACCCCCCTGTCCTCCGTGAGGTGGCTGGACTCCACCAGCCTGCCGTGGCAATCCAACCACACTTTCCTACAACACAAGAAAGGAGAGATGATCAGAACAGGGAATAACAGATGATACACTGATTCACTTTATTTATTCAGTCAATTACTGTGACCTACTGACACTTAATACACATAAAACAGTTCTAATTGCTTCTTGCATGTAATTACAGATTATTTTCATGGTGAACTGTCATGTAATCCCCAGCCACAATAGCTTCATCGGTACTAAATGAATACAATATATTACATACATTACATACTGTTCAAAAGTTTGGGGTCGGTATGATTTAAGAAACTAATACTTTTATTCAGAAAGGATGCTTTAAGCTGATCAAAGTTACAGTAAAGTCATTAATGATGTTAGAAAACATTTCCATTTCAAATAAATGCTGCTATTTTTAAACTTAAAAAAAAAAATTAAATAAATGCATCATGGTATCAGTACCAAATAAGCATATTAGGTGCCGTCCACACAGAACATGTTTTTCCATTCCAAATCTACCACTTTTTTTCAATGTAAACATAAATCCAGCCTTGGTTAGCCTAAAATACTCTCTAATAATAATAAAACAATCACCGACCACAAACTTTTGAATGGTAGTGTATCATACAAATGTATGTTCCCATGTAAATACCTTTAAATGTAATACAGCAGAAAAAAATAATGCAAATGCAAGTGTCCTTTCCAAACTCAAACTTTTTACAGTGTCATAAATTAAACAGAGTAAACTTTGAATCAAAATTGGTTTACAAATGAACAGAAAAATAAAACCTCAGAGGAACACATTTCTCAAACATGGTATACCACGGAATAAAGGAGCTGTGGAGACGCAGGAAAAGATACCCCTCTCTCTGAGTAGTGGTTGAGGTAATATAAAATTACCTTTAATACACTTGAAGTAGACTTGCTCTGATACAATAAAGAGATTCATGACAAAGAGTCATGAGACCCAGACCCTAGATGTATATGGAACAGGACAACCAGACTCAGTAGGACACACTGTAAAAAAAAAAATATTGTTGGTTTACCTTAAAAAAAAAAAAAGTAACCCGGTTGCCTTAAAATTTTAAGTTCATTGAAATGGAAAAATTGAGTTAATACAATGAAGGAGATGAATCACCAGAAACTCAAAATATTATTATCTGAACTACGTAAATTATCTAAGTTGATTTAACAAAAGAAAAAATGTTGTGATTATAAATCATGAAAATATTTTTTACAGTGTAGGACACACTGTAAAAAAAAATTGTTGGTTTAACTTAAAAAAGTAACACAGTTGCCTTAAAATTGTTTAGTTCATTGAAATGGAAAAATTGAGTTTAATACAATGAAGTTGATTAATCACCAGAAACTCAAAATATTTTGTTATCTGAACTACATAATTTATCCGAGTTGATTTAACAAAAGAAAAAATGTTGTGATTACAAATCATGAAAATATGTTTTTTTTACAGTAAAAGGAATGGTATGCAGAATGGGAGTGGGGGGTTCAAACTGTTGCAAACTGAATTTAAACCTGTATCATCCACACAAGCACCACATAGCTCAATGTGCCCAAGCACATTCACAGAGCCCACGACTCCAAACATTTTATTTGAACCATCCCTCCATGAGGCTCTTAGAACAGTATAAATAATGAGCCACAAACATGCACACGCCACAGGAGACGGATAAATCTAGACCAGACCGGTCAATGAGCACAAATCTGTGTGTAGACAGCTGGATCTCTTCTGTTAACCAGTCATGCTGTCCAAACGAGCGCTGATCCGCACGTACGTATCCTTGTTGAGGCCAGAGGGGGGCAGTGTTGATCTTTCCCCCCCTTCTCCTACCCTCTCTCAACTCCCTCTTTTGAGTAATCATCTATCTCTATTTCTTCCACCTCTGTGCCCATGTCTCCATTCCGTTCTCAGTCTTTCCCTCCTTCCTCACATTTCCCTTTACCTCCTCTCTTTTTCTTCGTTCGCCCTCACCACCTTACACACTCTTTTTCATTATGATCCCTTCATTCCCCCTCTCCCTTCAGCTCTCCCTGCAGATGGCTTAATCATGAGTGGTGTAAAAGATGTGTCTCCTTCCTGCCGGATAATCTGTGTGAGCCAAAGACTCCTCAGCAGAGCATGGAAAGAGAGAGAAAGAGAGAAAGATGAGGGGTGAGAGAAAAAGACTCAAATGACAGAAAAAAAAAACATTAGAGAGAGAGAGAGAGAGAGAGCAGGTAGCCAGGCAACAGTGGCTGTAATGTTGAGCAGATGGTGCTCATAGGAGCCATGATGGACGGCAGCGGGCAGCAGCCGAGAGAGAGAGAGAGAGAGCAGCGTAAATGAAGTCTCTCTCTTTTATCCTCTCTTCCTCCTCTTTCTGTCTCTATCACCGATTCCATCTCCATCTTTTTTCCCTCGTTTCCTTAAACCACTCTTGATTCTACGGATCACGCGCGGTCATCTATCTCTCTAACTAAACCGTCAATCATAAAGATTGTTGAAAGAGACTGTACAGGGGGATCAATGCAAATACTAAAGTGTGTAGTTTGTGTACCGCTACAATCACCAAATGGAAACGCTAAAGTATTGACTTCAAACAGGTTTCCTGAACACTCCCCCCATCTGCCATTGGTCAGGACAAACATAGTCCCGACCCAAACACGCATCAACGGTCGAGCAAAATGTTGCTGTTGTCAGGACTCAAACAGACATAACGTTTTGATAGTGCCACATTTACACTTTTTTGGGGGAAATCAACCTACAAATGACTGACGTACAACTGTCTTAATCTGGGACAGAAGAAGATATTATAAAATCCCACACCCTCTGAGCTTTGTGTAAGTTTGAGGGCTTACCAAAGGCACCAAGCCAACATAAACAGGCAAGACTATCGGTTGATAGTGAACTCTAAAGCTTAAGCTCATCTTCAATTGTTAAAGGTGTTGGAGGATGCACAAAGAAGCTCACTGCAGTTTGCACAGAGCAATACGTAGTGCGATACAGATAGCCGGAGTGATTGCTTTCATTGATCTCATGCATACACACACAAACACACATTGATTACCCAGTAGTGAGCCTTGGCCCAGATCAGGCACTAATCTGAGGGGCTTGCTCACAACATCCCCTCTAATAATACACTACGCACCAACAACACCCGGTCCTCATGAGGGCGTTCGTGTGTGTGTGGGTGGTGATAGTAGTGACTGGCCAATTCAAACAAATTCAAGCTATGACATCGTAAACGTGTTAGAGTTTTGGCAATGCCAAAGACGATGCATAAATGTAGCTTCGGCGGATCATTTGCAAGTTCAGTCTCAATATGGCATAAAAGACTCGAGAGAGGAAGTTTGAGCTGCTCTCTACTTGTTGAATGATTTTTTAAATTTTTTTATTTAATGGCCAATGGCTGATATCTAGAGAGCAAGGTGGCGAGGATATACAAACACACATACACATCCATCCATTCATCCAAATCAAACCTGTGACCAGCTAAGGATGCTTTTTAATGTCTCATATCATGACAATAAGCATGTACGTAGCCTAACTACTCTTTTAAAGTAGGCTTGATTAAACAGACTGGTGAATTGAAAGAGCGCAATGACAAAGGTGTGGAGGGGGCGTAGTCTATTGAATTCTCCAGGTGCTGCTGCTTCCTTTATCGGATTATTTGTTTTGACTATCAATCACGTCAAACCTACCGAGAGCAAACAAATGAGAGACTGGCAGGCAGAGGATCACCGACAGAAGGCCAAAACCAAAAAATCTACATCACAAATCGACCACAAACAAAAGCACTTTTCAAAAAAATATCCTTACATCTGGTGCAATGACAAAGAACAAAGAAATGCCAAAGTAGTCGTTCTTTTGTTCTCAAAATTTAGATAACACACCTGTTACAAGATAGGACCGGCCATGCTGTATAGCCCACCCCCTCATTTCCCATTCTTCCATCCCTTTTTCCACAAACTCCACCTCTCTCTACCTCCAACCTTTTGCCCTCCCGTCCCTTCCCTCCCCATGTTGTGTTATCTCTTCCAGTTTCTATATTCCCTTTCTCCATCCATCTATTCCACTGCACAGAAGCCATTAGCGGTGGCCGTAAAGCCATATTTCTGTCTACAGCTCAATTACAAGCACACACACTCACGCGTGCACAGGTTCAGCACCAGTTCATTGAGCATTATGGATAGAAATCCATCTGCAGCTATGCGCACGGATATCTCCATATGAATCCCTAATAAACAATTGCGGTAAACGGATTGAAACGTTAAATGATGATGTTAACCCTCAGATTTCAGTTTATGTCCATTTCATCAGCCAGGCTGGGTGGGCATTTTCCACCAAATTGGATCCGAAATTAAATGATCGCTCTTGGAACGAGACGAGCGTTAAACCGTAACGGATACAGCGTCTGAATAAGGGAACTTGTTTTCATTGTTTAGACAAGTCTGCGACGTGAAATTGTGCATTGTTCTTTGGCTGCGCCTCAAAGTTTCAGAAATAAACACCGAGCACCCACGGCTCAATTAAACACAGACGGACTCTCTCTGTGTGGATCTGCAGGTAGAGGAGAAAATGATGAAATCTGATGTAAGGACGAGAAAGGAAAGATAACAGAAGCCCAGTGAAATAAACGTCTCCCTCATGCTTCCCCTCTCTGTTACGCTCACTCTTCCTGTCTACCACTTTCCCTTTCTCCTTATGGAGGATGAAATGCAGTATTTGGAGCATTAAGCTCTGACATTGTGCTCGGCTTTCATAAAGGAAAAGTTATAGAACCCATAAACAGGCCCACACAAAGCTCTCTAAATTCAGAAAACCCATAATTCACCAAGATCTGCACCGTGCACGATCATTTATTAGCCTAAATATTTTATTTTGCTTGACAACAGTGCAACACGGCGACAGAATTCAACAGGTTTTTCCTAAAAAAATAGCTGGAAAAGGTCTACAGACTGTGCCGCCTGCATGTGTCATACGATATGCAGATTTACCCTTAAACACAGCAGAACTCAGTTGAATGTCACAACAGGTGCTTGTG